GCACAGCCACCTGTAAAGATAACATGTTTTCTTACGTATAGCACCCCTAATTTTATTTTAAAGGCCAAGTAAATATCCGTATTGTTTCCTACAGGAAAAAAAAGTGAGAATAAGGAATTCAAGATGAGGCTGAAAATCAACAGTCAAATATTTTATTATTTTTGCTTCTTTGATAGAGTTGATGATGAGACATTGGAGTTCTGAGTGTTCTTCTCAGGATTATGTTCAGTGTAGATTTTATTAATGAATTTCTTGAAGGAGAGATGACAATATCAGGTATTTAGAAGCTTCAAATATGATGGTTGTCTTAGTTACTTTTCTCATTGCTGAGACAAAATACCCGAAACACAAAGTTAAAGGAGGAAAAGTTTATTTGGCTCACAGTTTGTAGAGGTTTCAGTCTGCAGATGTCTGGATCCAAAGCAGGGTGTAGGGCAGAGGGGCATCGCAGAGGAGAAACAGTTCATGGTGGGCAGAAGGCAGAAGGCAGCAAGTATAAGAGACAGGTGACAAGCAAGGACACTCTTTCTGTCCCTTATATCTCATCCAGGCTAGGGTGGGTAGCACTCACACCTTTAATCCTAGTATGGCATCCTTGATCCCAGTGTCACTCACCCTAGATCCAGCTTCCTCTGAAAAGCCCCACCTCTAACTGCATGAGGCTTTGGGGAGAGATCTAGATATAAGCTGAAACAGTGGCATTTCTGCTTACTGTACACATACCAGGGGCTCTTTACCGTGGCTGTGGCACACCTTGAGCATTCACCATCTTCGTGAATTTTTTATGAATTTACTGCCCAGTTCTGTTAAAGATGTAGTAAAATCCAGTATTAGGGCAATAAAACAAAGATCCAGAAAAGAGTGCAAAGTATATTTTGAGTTCTCAACAAGATGCCAACAAGACAGGGGAGATTTTCTAGCACCCATTCTACCATAAAGACATTGAATTGAACAATTGTCCATGCTTCAAAATGCCTTCATAAAGACTAAGAAATCCAAGCAAATTGAGCCCTTGAATGTAATGAAGACATAAGAAAACAATGCACTGAAGAAGATAGGCAGGCCCACTTCACTTCTTCACCTACCCAGACAGTGTTGCCTGGAGAGCACTATGGCCTGGTTGGGGAAAGAAGACAGAAGTCAGCACCAGACTTTACCTTGGAGCCCAGCACTTACCTGCTTAGTAAAACCTGGTGTTGAGCAAGGCCCAGGATCTCAAGACTTTAGGCTGGTAGCCATGAACGAGTCTTCAGGCCCAACCCAGTGCCAGGTCTCTCCCATCAGCCCTGGGATTTGGGCATACACCAATGCTTGTGTGGTCCTCACACAACAGGTTCCAGGCCCATCCTGCTGCTGGGTCAGCACTTCTAGCTTTAGTCCCTATGTGTGGCCCAAGACAAGCCATAGCCTACAGTCTCATCCCCCAGCTTAGCCCCTAGAACCTCATACTCTAGCACGACCAGTGAGATGGCAGCCCTCATCAGGACTGAAACAGTCAGTGCTCATGGGCCAGGCTCCAGGCCGATCCATGTGGAACCACATTTCCAGTGGCCAGCGACCGAGGGCCACCCTGGAGGGTCAGGCCTTTAGTCCCAGACACTCAGCTCCAGGCTGGGCTCTGCAGATCCGGCTTTCAGATGATTCATCACAGCTTCAAGCTCCAATCCAGGTCCCTGGTTCCATGCAAGAATCTCTACTACCCTTTTCCATTCATATAGAATGTTCAAAACAGTAGAATAATGAAATTTCAAAAAATAAAATTAAAACAGATATTTACATATGTTCTATTGAATACATACATTGAAAATCATTAATTCAAGGAACAAAGTATTCAACCATGTAATCACTCAGTTTGCTAAATTACTGTGGGTGAGGGTAAAGATCCTAGGTGTGAGAATTTATTCAAAATGAAGCAAATCCATTTCTAGTTTTTAAAAAGTTAAACCCGTGCATTAAATCTTATCATTAGATATGTGTGATGGTTGATTGATTGTATCAACTTAAGAGGAGCTCAGCTAAATTGGCTCAGCAATTCCACACCCTAGGGTGCGGAAGACTCACCCCAGGGTGGCTTGACTGGTGGATGGAATAAAGGGGAAATGAAGAAGGATGGATCTGCTTCTGGTTTTTTGGAGGCGCTCCGGTCTTTCCTTACCCCTTGGACGTCATCTCCTGGCTTCCAGCTCAGACTCTTCGGCTTCCAGCACAGATCCTTCAGCCTCCTGACATGGACCCACATGGGACAATTGCAATGAGCCCCAGACCTTCACCTATATCCTTTGGTCACCAGTGTGCGGACAGACCCTCTGCATTCTTCCACATCTGACTCTGTGAGTGGCCATTGTAAGCCAGTCTGGTAAGTACTTCTGTACTGGTATATCTTGTATTATATCTGTTTCTCTAGTAAACACTGACTGATGCAATATGTGATTTGGTTCTGATTGTGGTGGAAACTTTGAGAATGAACTTTCCCTAAGGTCATTATCATATTGCATCACTATTTTAAATAGACTTTATTACTAAAGAAAAAGACCATTTATTGCTAAGGGTACTGTGAAATAGAAGATTTCATTAGATGAAAGAACTAGAAGCGAGGAACAGCAATTTCAACTAGCCAGCCTGAGTTTAGGCAGTCAGACATTTTCTGTACTAATTATCCCCAAAGAAAGTCCTTGAGCATCACTCTTTACTTTGGACAGTTGTACGCAGATTATACTAGGAAAGTAAAGCAAAACTCAAGCCCTGGAGAATATGGGTGAGATTTTCTTTTTTCTGTATCTACTGTAGAATGTTTGGTGTTCTGGGGTATTAAGCATGCCTGTTAATTTTAAACACCTGCCTTATAATTGCAAGGCACTATTCTAATTATAGAGGAATCAAATCAAGATGATACAGTATATCTGTATATGACTGCACCTAGGGTAGCACAAATGTGAATAAGAAAAGCTCGATATTTAATAAATTGAAATGTTAGTATGTTTGAAATGGTCATAAAGGTGAGGAGAGATTCCTTTGGGATGGATCTTTTTTTTTTTTTTGTACAGGGATCGAACTCTGGGATGGATCTTGATTTAAGGTGATGAGTTTCTCCATGTCATTGGAACACATACCCAGGCTTGTGTGTAGTTGCACGGTTTCTTCTAAAGGGAGTCAAGCAACATAATTCAAAGTTGTCAAAAACTGCTGTGATTTGAGTTCTTTTAATCTGAGAGTCTATAGCAGAGAATAGTACTGCTTTACAAATTCAGCAAGAAAGCAGAATGAGAAGAAACATGTAAGAATTGGAGAATATACTCAGTTCTGAATCTGAATTGTGGTAATGCTACTATCATTCTCATCGCTATTACCACTATTTTGTGGTACAAGAGAAGGCAGACGTGTAATAACTGGGATAATATACAGATAGGACAAGATCCAGTTTTCCAAAAGTTGGAAGTGGCTGCTCCATTATTATTGTAAACAGTTAGCAGGGTGTTGGTTCTTTCTACTCATTTTCCTACCAGTACTACTTCAATATTAGTAGAAGTAGTAGAGATGGAGTCTCAAAGAAGAAACCTACTGAGGAATAGCTTGATGTGAGAACCTTGAAATCTCCTTTAATCAAAACTTCTCCTTATGTTCTTCTCCACATGAATACTAAAGGTGACCCCACTAGTGCATCTGAAATTCCAACACTGAAGATTTATCTATTTAAATTGAAAATCATTCTTTTCCCAAACCTATAAGAATTATCTTTAAATGACAGTCTCTTCCTGCAAAACTGAACTCATCCAAACTAGAATTGATAAATGCTGCCACGAGTCATAAACATGTGAAGGGTTCATGAAGGAATATCAACATTAAAGGGCAGAGTCTTTCCTTCTCATGCTTTTTATTTTTTATTTGGGTTTGTTCTTGTCGATTATCTGTTTGTTTCTATTATTTTACTAGACAAATGTGTAAAATACCAATGCATAGAAAGTCCTGGGAAATCATTAAGCACTCTAAGTTTGCAGATGAAGAAATTACCTGAGACTTTATATCCCCAACTTCCAAATAAAACAGGGCTAACTTCCCTCCATAACTTATTTTATTTCTCTATATTATCTTGCTTCTGCCTCCATCTCACATTTTTATGCTATCCTAGGCTACCGAATGGTTATGTAGCTTGATAGAAACCCCAGTTATCATAATAGGTGACAGTGAAATTAAAAGTTTTCCATTTCATCACTGGGATAAGAGAAGCACCAGAGAGCCAGATGATTTGCTCATGTTAGGACTGTGTCCTTTTAGAGGGATATTTTGTACACTTTTGGACCTCTTTCTATTGCACCACACTGCCTCTTGGACTATAGCATCTTGAGGGTAAATAGAAAGCCATAAACTCATGCATGCATAGGCAGATCTGAAGGAGAAGCTGCAGAACCCACCCCATTTCTGCTATTCAAAGACTCCAGGAGTGGAGGTGGTGCCCAGGCATGGTGATGTTCAGAATGGACATGTGCAGATATATTTTTATTTCTATGAATCAAATAAGTTACATAGGTGATACCAAAACCCTAAACAAAGTATTGTTCTGAAATTTGAGTGTCTTTATGTTATTTTTCCATCCCCTTTCCCTTCCCTCCCTCCTAACTCCACCCATCCCTTAACCCTTTTCTTTTTTTTTGTACTTGGTAGGAGCACATAATGAATGCCTTTAATAGAAAGAGTGCTAAGAAAATATTTACCCATAAACAGATAAAACTTTAAGAGGTAGGCATATGAAACACTTGGTTAGATGTGCAACTGAGGGGATTTGTTTCATCTCTGAACTTTTCTTCTACATCTGAAGTGCAGACCAGCATTTTGAGGCAAGGTGCTCAGAACAGATTTACATTAAATACTTTAAGTCCTCATTTTTACATGTTTAATTGCTGCAATTATTCACTTATTATAAGGTAGACCTAAGTGCTCATAGTCTTTCTTGTGCCTGTCTTTCAGGTAATTTAAATGTCTTATCAGTTGGCTGAAATTAATCCATGGAGAGAATAAGCATTGTAACTGAGTTTATTTTCTGGGGTCTTACTCATAACCCAGCAGTTGAAGAAGTTTGCTTTGTGGTGTTTTTATTCTTCTACACAGTCATCATCCTGGGAAACCTCCTCACCATGCTGACAATCTGTATGGTCGATCTTCTAAAGTCTCCTATGTACTTCTTCCTCAACTCCTTGTCTTTTGTGGACATTTGTTTCTCTTCGTCCACAGCACCCAAATTGATTGCTGACTTATTAGCACAGAACAAAACTATCTCCTATGAGGGGTGCATATTGCAACTCTTTGGGGTACATTTCTTCGGTTGCACCGAGATCTTCATCCTAATCGTCATGGCCTATGATCGCTATGTGGCTATCTGCAAACCACTACACTACGCAACCATCATGGACCGGGAGACATGCAATAAACTGCTGCTGGGGACATGGCTGGGTGGGTTTGTACACACTGTTATCCCAGTGTCTCTGGTAGTCCAGCTCCCCTTCTGTGGCCCCAATGAGATTGATCACTACTTTTGTGATGTTCACCCTGTGCTGAAACTCGCCTGCACGGACACACATCTAATCGGAGGCATGGTGACCGCCAACAGTGGGACCATCACGCTGGGCAGTTTTGTCATCCTGCTCATCTCTTACACTGTCATCCTGGTGTCTCTGCGGAAGCAGTCAACAGAAGGCAGGTGCAAAGCCCTCTCCACCTGCGGTGCCCACATCACTGTGGTCATCATCTTCTTTGGACCCTGCACTTTCACATACATGCGCCCTGATATCACCTTCACCGAAGATAAGATGGTGGCTGTGTTCTACACCATCATCACGCCCATGTTAAACCCCATGATTTATACACTGAGAAATGCGGAAGTAAAGAATGCAATGAGGAAACTGTGGGGCAGGAAGGTGTACAGGGAGGCTCAGGGTAAATAGCTGGAAATAATTTAAACTTGGTGATCTCATACTTTCTCAGCTTTGGTTAAGTCGTCTGCGTAATGGACAAAATAATAACATCACTAGATTGTCATGTTATGGAGGAACACATGAGAGGATAACATTCCACAGAAGCAAAATATGACTTGCCATTGTTATATTTGTTTGACTATTTCAAAAATCATACAATTTTCTAAAATATTACTGCCAAAGGAAGCTTATTAAGCTCAGAATCTCAGCCTAGTCATACTGTGCATCATTATTTTCTTTTCATTTTTGTCTTTTCTCATTTTTTTAAATGATGAAAACATTTCCTATGAAATATTTAAAGTTGCTTCCGGGGTTTGAAGTGTGGTTGGCATGTATATGGTAGATATGTATAGTAGCGTGAATGATAGAATGTATTAAAAACAACACAACTGTGCTTATGCATTCATTCTGTATCCTCTAAGACTCAGTGAAAGCTAAGCCTGCTAATTTTGGAATAAGAGCTGAGGTATGCCTGGAGATTCAGAGATATAAAGCACAGGCGTCAGTGACAAATATTTGTTCTCACCTTCTGATGGAGAAAACATCCTGTTCCATTGATGGATTCATTTTCTTTTCTGACATGCACACAAAAGAGATTGGTAGACACACCTCTAACACTCTGTTCCTATTCATTGTAACAACTCATTAATATTCGCTTTCTTAGAGTCTCTAAACTTTACTTCGTGGTAGTCAGAAATCCCTATTCATAGAAAATGACTACCAGGAAAATTAATTAAACCAAATGAAAACAAAGCCACATGTGAAATACAGGTTACCATGTTTAAATTAACAGAGGAATTCAAGCTTGGAAAACCACAATTCCTACAATGTTTGAAACAAACAGCTTTACTTAACATGGTGAAAACTTTATCATTGGCTGGACTTACCTAACCCCATGTCCATCCCTGCTTTCCTCAAACACTCATACTGGAAAAATATCTTTTTCTTGTCTTAACTTTTATTAATGTTGGTGATCGATTCCCCTTTTACTATGAACCACACACTATTTATTTTCTTACAGAAAATAAACAGATCAATGGTTATTTCTTTGCCATTCTTTTACTGAATATGCAGAAATCTAAGAGCCAGGTGTATCCTCTACCTAGGTTTGTGTTCGTAGCTGTGGGTGAAATGTATGCATTACTTGAAGAAAGGACTGTGAGGTTTAAGAGTGAACCTGATGTTGGTACATACTCAGAATTGTCTTTGTAAATAGGGAAGGGTGGAGCGGGTGAAGGGAGGGCTAGGAATGGGGGGAAAATAAGAACCAAGATGCATTATGTAAAGGTACAATTCCCAATGCGAAATGTAATTGTGTTGTATACCTAAAATGTACTGATAAAAGAATTTAACAACAACAACAAAATAAAACAGAAATCAAAATGATGCAGCATATCCAATGATAAAATTTTCAGTCTCTCTCTGGAATCATGTTAAGGCATGGTTATTATTCCATTTTAGAATGTTTGCACTAAGTCTCTGTGTGCCTCTGTTAGCTCAACTTACAAATGGGAGCAAGGCCAATGCTTCGCAAAATAGGCTGGCCATAAAGGTCACTTGTGAATTTTTTTTGAGATACAATGGAAAATATTCTGAGAGATTCTGACCCATTAAGTCCAGGTTATTGGTTATGAAAAAATCTGCATTTTAATAACAACCCTTCATTATTTTTATGTAGTCAGTGGAACATGTGAGCACTTAGATTTGCAAAGCTGAAAACAGATAACCTTTAATGTTCTTAGAACACAAGGGCTCTATGAATCAATAGAATTCAAAGAGCCCCATCTGTGCTGCTGAAATTGAAATGAAGTTAGAAAATTGTGAGAGGTAAATATTGTCCACTTGATCACTTCTCCATGATACACTTTCCTTTATTCTTTGACATTAAAGAATTGACTCCTGGTGGCTATAATGGAAGTCCAATGTCCTTGGGAAACTTGCAGCAGCCTAATTCATATTTGTTTTGGGGGGTTTTTTTTTGTACTGGAGATCGAACTCGGGACCTTGTGCTTGTGAAGGAGGCACCGGAACTACTGAGCTAAATCCCCGGAGCCATATTTGTCAAAGACAAAGAATGTGAACATATGAAACAGGGCTGAGTGTAAATTTTCACCTTTTCACAAAAGTTCCTCTGAGTCAATCCCCACTGTAGAAGCTCAGAGAGTCTTAGACAATTTTTTGGAATAATCCCGAGAACTCAAACTCTCCCCTGTTTTAGTAATAGTTAACTGACGAACAACAACACCTCATTCCATAAATTCATGATCACAACATTGACTGCTGGCCCTGTAGTGTAATAGCCAGGCTGTGGCAATGATGGGACAGGGCATCTTGGTTGGAAAGCTCACTGATGAAAAAGATGGCAACCCTTTTCATTTCAAGTTAAATTTAGTTTATGTAACAGGGGGAAAAACGAACTTATTTCAGCCTGGAACTGCTAACCAATTATACTTTCTTTTTTTGCACTTTATTAAATTCTTTTATTGGTACATTGTAGGTATACAACACAATTACATTTCTCATTGGGAATTGTACCTTTACATAATGCATCTTTG